TTTGGTGGGGGCGGGGGTTCCGCTTAATTTTATTTATATAATTGTAATTAATTAATTAATGTATTATATTTATATCCCGCCCTCCCCAGCATAAATTAAGATTGCAATATAAAACCGTAGGTACGCACACATAGCTATAATACAAGATGGCTTCTGCCAGGCTGATAGTCATCCGGCTGATGGTGGTATTTGATGTTAAGGCCAGGTTGGTGGTGGTATTGATGTTAGGGCCAGGGCCTGGCAGAAGCCTGGCGGAAGAGCTCTGTTTTACAGGCCCTGTGGAACTGCAAAAGGTCCCGCAGGGCTCTGATGTCATCCGGGAGCTCATTCTGCCAGAGTGGAGCCGTCACCGAGAAGGCCCTGGCCCTCGTAGCCAACCTAGCCTCTTTCGGGCCCGGAAGGGCCAGGTGATTTTGGGATCCAGATCATAATGCTCTCTGGCGCTCATGTGGGGAAAGGTGGTCCCTCAGGTAGATAGGTCCCCGACCATATAGGGCTTTAAAGGTTAAAACCTTTGTTTATTTATTCATTTAAAAAACAACAGGAAAAGAGAACGGGAAAGAAAATCCAGCAACGAATAAAGAAAAGAAAAAAACAGTCTATAAAAAGTAGAAACAAAAACATAACAACAGGGGTGGCAGGTCTACATACAAGTTCCTATAAAATGTTTCCAAATATGTACAAATAAGTCCACGTGCAATTGTCGTCTGTATGCTGTCCGTTCAAATACTGATCAAGCTGTAAGGTCTTCAATCCGTTCATTTACCGGGGGGGGGGGGAGAATTTATCTCTCCAGTGCTGTAGTACAAATCTTTTCACTTTAGTAGGGTCCATTTTCGTTGACTGTTGGTTAGCCTCTCAAGAGATGGGCAGATAGGTTGAAAGTACTGAAGCATCCTCAAAGATCAGTGGACATTCCAACATCAAATTGATATAACTTCTTCCCAGAAAAACCAAATGACTGGACATGCCCAAAGCATACGTTTAAGGGACACGGCCCTGTGATTTGCAACTTCTGATGGTATGATGACAGAGACACAAATGGACTTTGGGATGATAAGAATTCCTGGCAGCAACAAAAAAACTCTGGTCTTACTCTGCCACATCTTGTGTGTTGGTTTATCCTGCATATTCTGAAAGCAGAATTTAAAAAATCTCAAGTGCCCTGATCTGGATAGGCCAGGCAAGCTCGATCCCGTCAGATCTCAGAAGCTAAGCAGGGCCGACCCTGGCAAGTACTTGGGAGACCTCCAAGGAATACCAGTGCCGGGACACAGAACCAGGAAATAGTAAGCCACTTCTCCGAAAAGTCAAAGCCCCACTAGGGGGTCGCCAGAAGTCGACCATGATTTCCAGGCATACACACACACACACACACACAAAAAAACCAAATAAATCTCACAGTGCTGGAAAACCTGAGCACAGAATTCTCGCTCCTTTTGTAGAGATGTTTTGCTAGCTTTGTATAAGCGCTCTTGTGACAGCAAATCTGGCCTCATTCATATTCGTGAAAAATTATATGTAGTTAAGCCTGTTTGCTCCTGCACGGAGGAGGGGGTCACCCAACAGGAAACTTCACATACGTGAGAAAAAGAGTAGGGGCAACTTGAGGACGTTATGCCCAAGTGAATGTCTTTGCAGGGGAACAATTGCACACGCATTGCATGGTGTGGAAACTGGCTCTCTGCTTGGACGCTGGGGGTCTCCTGGCCTAGACCGGGAGCCAGGACTCCATGGATTTGTCTGCTGAGTCTGCATCAGGCTATGGTTCAAGCCCCCCACCCTTCCTTGTTCCCCCTATGGGTGTGAAATTTACCCAGGCTCTGCCGAAATTAATATTTCATTGCAAAGCTTTCAATAATTAACAGCAAGGCCTCGTTATCTCCTGCAAAAGGGCCCCGGGACAGAGCGATGATTAATTTTAAAGGAGATTGGCCCAGCATCAGTGCAGTATTTAGCAAAGGCAAAAGAAACTTCTTCCGATGGATGGCTTTTCCAGGCTTCTTTTGTTTGAGAGAAATGGCCCCCAAAGAAGTCTTCTGCCTTGACATCATCACATCGGGCTGTATGCCTGTTGGAGGGTGGAAGGCTGTTGAGCAAAACTCCTGGATCATCTGAGATGAGAGTTGGGTACAAGTGTGACCAAACTAGGGGGAGGGGAGAGACGACACAGAGCTGGACTCCTGGTTTCTGTGCCAGTTTTAGGAACATCAGAAGAGCCTTGCTGGATCAGACCAGCGGTCCATCTAGTCCAACATCCCATCTCACACAGTAGCCAACCAGTTCTTCTGGAGGGCCAACAACAGGGCAGAGAGGCTGAGGCCTTCTGATGTTGCTTCCTGGCTCTGGGATCCGTAGATTTAGTATCTCTGAATGTGGAGGTTCCCCTCAGCCACCATGGCTAGTAGCCGATGCTCTGTGGAGTCTTGTGAGCAAAAATTCTACTTGGTGAGCTGCCGGCATTAAAGTTCTGAGCAAGCGATTTGGCTACTGCATAAATTAGTTTGCTCTGGAGCCATCCTTCTTGAGCTAAGACAAAAATGTGTGAGCCAAAGGCTAAAAAACGGTGAGCTAGCTCACACTAACTCTTCTTAGAGGGAACACTGCTAGTAGCCATTGATAGACTTATTCTCCATGAATCTGTCTAATCCACTTTTAAAACTGTCTACTCCTGTGGCCATCACTACGCCCTCTGGCAGCGAATTCCACATTTCAATCATTCTCTGTATAAAGAAGTATTTCGTTTGTGCTGAACCTACTGCCCATCAGCTTCATTGAATGCCCTCCAGTTCTAGCATTTTAGGAGAGGGAGAAAAATTTCTCTCTGTCAACTCTCTCTCCACCCCATGCATAATTTGATAAACCACTTTCCGACCCCATGAACCACATCGCGCCAGGCCCTCCTGTCTTCCGTCGTGCTCCGGAGTCTGCTTAATTTCATGTTCGTTGCCTCGATAACACTGTCTAACCATCTCATCCTTTGCCGTCCCCGTCTTCTTTGACCTTCAATCTTTCCCAGCATCAGGGTCTTCTCCAGTGAATGCTCCCTTCTCATTTGGTGGCCAAAGTATTTGAGCTTCAGTTTCATTATCTGGCCTTCCAGGGAACAGTCAGGGTTCATCTCTTTTAGGACTGACTGATTCGATCTCCTTGCAGTCCAAGGGACTCTCAAGTGTCTTCTCCAGCACCATAATTCAAAAGCATCTATCAAAAGCTTAATTGTCTCTTTTCTAAACTGAAAAGTCCCAGATTCTTTTGGTCTCTTTGTGTCACTTCCTCTATGACAGGCTCTGATGAGGTTTGCCCAGGATCTGTCCACTTAGTGGTTCCATCGGTGTCCCGCAATCTATCTGACTGTAGAAGTATTTGCTGAGGTTGGGGACTGCATATTTCTTGAAAGGCGGCAGGGCAGGGAACGGCTGCCGATTAGGAACCAGCTGCTTATGAGAGGAGAATTCGGTATCGTCTTCTCTGTCTGCAAACATTTTGGAGTTTTAAATAAATAAAATATTTATCAGCTGCTTTTCTACCTTACAGGAACTCGAGGCAGCTTACGGGATAAATGACAATAAAATACACCAGATACATAAAAACTATGCGTTGAAATCAATAATTTAAAACTGCCAGCAAGCAGAAAAAATATTCAAGTGTCGTCATGAATAAAACTGTCTTCAGCCGCCTCCTAAAGACCAAGAGTGGAGGGACCAGAGGCACCTCCCTGGGGAGGTCGTTCCATAGCTGTGGGGCTGCCACTGAAAAGGCCCTCCGTCATCTACCCACCAGACAAGCTTCTTTGTTCGATGGAACAGTCAAGATGGCCTCTCTCTCTCCCTGTGATCTTCATTCCCAAGGCAGGAACAGACGGGCTGTGCTCCTGCAGAGTGCAGGGGGTTGGACTAGATGACCTGCAAGGTCCCTTCCAACTCTTAACATTCTATGAATCTATGGGGGGAGGCAGTCCTTCAGATACCCAGGTCCCAAGCCACGTAGGCAGGGCTCTCTTTGTAGAAAAAGCCCAGCAGGAACTCATTAGCATAATATGCCACACCCAACAGCAGAAACTCATTAGTATATTAGGCCACACCCCTGACAGCACAGCTCATTAGCACATTAGGCCGCACCCCCATGTTACCAGAAGTGTGGTCATCCAGCCACACCCACCTTTTGCTTGTTATTCTGTTTACCTTGTTTGTTGTCAAAACCCAGGGGTTTTTTTGTAGCAGGAATTCTTTTGCATGTTAGGCCACACACCCCTAATGTAGCCAGTCCTAATGAGTTTCTGCTGTTGGGTGAGGCCTATTATGTTAATGAGTTCCTGCTGGGCGTGGCCAACTCGGGAGCCAGCTGAAACTCCGTTCCTGTGCGTTCCTGCCCAAAAATAGCCCTGCACGTAGGGCTTTATCAAAGCAACGCCTTTCCTTCCCAGTTGAAACGCGGTTTCTGCCTCGCCTCCTCACACGGTGGTTCTCTCTGCTTTTCCTCCACAGGCTTCATGAGCACAGGGGACCAATCAGGCAAGGGGAACTACGGCCTTCTGGACCAGATCCAGGCCCTGCGGTGGCTGAATGAGAACATTGGCCACTTTGGGGGCGACCCCGAGCGGATCACCATCTTTGGCTCGGGAGCGGGGGCTTCCTGCGTCAACCTTCTCATCCTGTCCCACCACTCGGAAGGTAAATGTTTTTGTGACTTCCTGGGCTGGAACGGCCGCCCTCTCAAGGGCCCCGTCAGTGCATCTCTTCTTCCGCCTTTCCAAGTCACGGTGATGTTTTTCCGCGTTATCATCTTGCATTAAAACACTTCCTTTCTCGTCTGTCTACTTGGGCTTCCAGCTACACTCCTCTTCCACGCTTTGTCCCCTTTCCTTTGAGAAAAAAAGGAGCGGGCTATACCGTATAGAATGGACTGTACCACTCCCTGACCTGCATGGCCCAGGCTAGCCTGATCTCATCAGATCTTGGAAGCTAAGCAGGGTTGGCCTTGTTTAGTACTTGGATGGGAGACCACCCGGGAAGTCCAGGGTTGCTATGCAGAGGCAGTGGCAAAGCTCCTCTGCATGTCTTTCGGCTGACCTGGATGGCCCAGGTTAACCCGATCTCATCAGATCTCAGAAGCTGAGCAGGGTCAGCCCTGGTTGGTACTTGGATGGGAGACCACCCAGGAAGTCCACGGTTGCTCAGCAGAGGGAGGAAATGGCAAGCCACCTCTGAACATTTCTTGTTTTGAGAACTCCTTGAGGGGTCACCATCCATGCTCTCAGAGCGGTGGAGTCCTGTGAGCAAAAATTCTACGTTGTGAGCTACCGGCGTTAAAGTTGTGAGCGAGCCATTTGGATACTGCATCAATTAGTTTGCTCTGGAGCCATCCCTTCCTGAGCCGGGACAAAAACGTGTGAGCCGGAGGCTAAAAAACTGTGAGCTGGCTCACACTAACTCAGCTTAGAGGGAACACTGGCCACCAATGCTCCCTCTAAGCTGTGGAGTCTTGTGAGCAAAAATTCTACTTCGTGAGCCACTGGCAATAAACTTGTGAGCGAGCGATTTGGCTACTGGCTAAACCAGTTTGCTCTGGAGCCACATCCTTCCTGAGCTCAGACAAAAATATGTGAGCTGGAGGCTAAAAAACTGTGAGCTAGCTCACACTAACTCAGCTTAGAGGGAACACTGCTGGCCACCATATAAGTCGCTTGTCGCTTGATGGCACTGGATGCACACGTAGCATATTCCCTCCCGTTGAGTGGGGAGCAGATTTCGCTTCCTTCCCCCCCACCCTTACGCCCTGCCTCTTTTGTTACCCATCCACAATCCTCCCTGCATCCGTGATCACTGACAGCCCTTTTTCTTCCCCCCTCCGCAGGTCTCTTCCAGAAGGCCATTGCCCAGAGTGGCACAGCCATTTCCAGCTGGTCGGTGAATTACCAGCCTCTCAAATACACCCGCATGCTGGCCTCCAAGGTTGGCTGCGATCACATGGACACGGGGGACACGGTGGAGTGCCTTCGGCGCAAGCCCTACCGAGAGCTGGTCGACCAGGACATCCAGCCGGCACGCTATCACATTGCCTTTGGCCCCGTGGTGGACGGGGACGTGGTTCCGGATGACCCAGAGATCCTGATGCAGCAGGGGGAGTTCCTCAACTACGACATCCTCATCGGTGTCAACCAGGGAGAGGGCCTGAAGTTTGTGGAGGACTCCATGGAGAACGAAGACGGCATCTCCGCCAGCTACTTTGACTTCACCATCTCCAACTTTGTCGACAACCTCTACGGCTACCCGGAAGGCAAGGACATCTTGCGGGAGACCATCAAGTTCATGTACACGGACTGGGCCGACCGGGACAACGGCGAGATGCGCCGCAAGACCCTCCTGGCGCTTTTCACCGACCACCAGTGGGTCGCGCCTGCCGTGGCCACCGCCAAACTTCACGCTGAGTACCAGTCGCCCGTCTACTTCTACACCTTCTACCACCACTGCCAGACTGACACTCGGCCCGAGTGGGCTGATGCTGCCCACGGGGATGAGATCCCCTACGTCTTCGGGGTGCCCATGATCGGCGCCACGGATCTCTTCCCTTGCAATTTTTCCAAGAACGACGTCATGCTGAGCGCCGTGGTCATGACCTACTGGACCAATTTTGCCAAGACCGGGTGAGATGTCGGAGAGAGGGTGGAAGAATAATACAGGAGGGGAGGGAAAGGATGGGGTGGGGGGAGGCAATGAAGGAAGGGGGGGAGGGGCCGTGGCCTAGTAGTCAAGCATTGTCTGGGCATGCAGAAGGTCCCCGGTTCAATCCCTGGCATCTCCAGTTAAAGGACTGGCCATTAGGTGATGGGAAAAGACCTCTCCCTGAGACTGTGATGCAGAAGGTCCCAGGTTCAGTCCCCGGCATCTCCAGTTAAAAGGACCATGCAGGAGGTGATGTGGAAGACCTCCGCCTGAGACTCTGGAGAGCTGTAAAGAGGGGCCGTGGCTCAGTGGCAGAACCTATGCTTGGAATACAGAAGGTCCCAGGTTCAGTCCCCAGCATCTCCAGTTTAAAAGGACCAGGCAGGAGGTGATGGGAAAGACCTCCGCCTGAGACCCTGGAGAGCTGTAAAGAGGGGCTGTGGCTCAGTGGCAGAGCCTCTACTTGGCATGCAGAAGGTCCCCGGTTCAATCCCCGGCATCTCCAGTTAAAAGACTGGCCAGTAGGTGATGGGAAAAGACCTCTGCCTGAGACTGTGGAGAGTCACTGCCTGCCTGAGTAGGCGATGCTGACTTTGATGGACTGAGGGGGGGGGGGTCTGATTCAGCAGAAGGCAGCTTCATGTGTGAAGGCTGTTAAGGTCTACAAAGGCAGTGCCCAAGAGAAGCGATCAGAGTGTCCGATTGGCAGTGGGCAGACCCCAGATCCAAATTCCTCATTTAGCCATAAGCCTCATTTAGCCATAAGATAAGCATATGGAGCAGAGATCCATCAGTGGCTCTTAGCCACAAGGTATAGATAGGAACTCTCAGTCTGGGGCAAGTGATGCTCTGTATTCTTGGTGCTTGGTGGGGGGGGGCAACAGTGGGAGGGCCTCTACTGTCACCTGGCCCCACTGCTGGACCTCCTGATGGCCCCTGGTATTTTTGGCCCCTGTGTGACACAGTGTTGGACTGGACAGGCCACTGGCCTGATCCAACATTGGCTTCTCTTACGTTCTTATGTTCTTATGTTCTCTGTGGCTGCAGTGGCTCAAGTGGTTAAGATGCTGAACTGCTGACCGGAAAGGTTGGTAGTTCAGCAGTTCAAGACCCGGGTGCCGCATGACGGAGTGAGGCTCCCGTCTCTGGCCCCAGCTCCTGCCAACCTAGCAGTTCAAAAGCAAGAAATTGCAAGTAGATAAATAGGTACCGCTTCGGTGGGAAGGTAACAGCATTCTGGGCGCTTCGGCGTCTAGTCATGCCGGCCACATGACCACGGAAACGTCTTCGGACAGCGCTGGCTCTTCGGCTTGGAAAGGGAGATGAGCACCGTATCCCTAGAGCCGGATTCGACTGGCTTTCGAGCAAGGGAAACGTTTACCTTTACCTCTGTGGGTAATCTTGGGCCAATCACTTGCAGCCAGGCAAAATTTTGTAGGGTATTGTGAAGCTAAAACGGGGGGGTGGGCTCTTGGTGGGGGAGAGGCAGGATAAAGATATAATAAATGTGAGGGGCTGGATTGAGGAACGAAAATGTCTTCAGTCCCGGATAACTCTGGTCAGGCCTTTTCCAGATATTGGTGTGCTCTTAAGAAGCCCTGGGTGCCTAGTTAGCTTTCAAAGGACAGCAATTATATGAGCCCACTAATTATTTCCTACCCGAAGTAAGCAGGTTTCACAAGGCATGGCGCATCTTCAAAGAAGACCGGCTTCCCGTATTTATCGGTTTCCCAAACCTCCTTCCGACAATCGCGAGCTGTCTCACCTTGAGAAGGCTCACATTCTTCGCTAATTATCTTATAACTTCAAACGCCAAAAATTTATCTATACTTAAGAATCGTCATAAAATATACAAAAGCAATGTCAGTTAATTCTCACTACTTTCAGGCCTAACAAAGAATATTTAAAAAATAACGATTACAGGTTTCTAAGACATCCTGTTATCTGTTGGCCCTCAAGTAATATGGCCCATCTTTGATCTTCTCTTCTCTATTTAGTTAGACATTCTTGTCTTTCTCAGTTGCTTCTCACACCTGGGCCCTGACATATTACACTTGTTGATATGGATTAGAATGTTTCTAATCTACTAGAATGGAGCTGCGTCTGGTATTCCTTTGTTCACGCTGAACTGCAGGCTGTGGAAGGTCAGTAGTTCAGCGGTTCAAGACCCAGGTGCCGCAAGACAGGGTGAGCTCCTGTCTCTAGTTCCAGCTCCTGCCAACCTAGCAGTTCGAAAGCAAGAAATTGCAAGTAGATAAATAGGTACCACTTCGGTGGGAAGGTAACAGCGTTCCGTGCGCCTTGGTGTTTAGTCATGCTGGCCACATGACCACGGAAACGTCTTCGGACAGCGCTGGCTCTTCGGCTTTGAAACGGAGATGAGCACCGCAACCCTAGAGTCGGATTCGACTGGCTTTCGAGCAAGGGAACCTTTACCTTTACCTTAATCTACTAGAGGACACATTGTTCTGGTATTCCTTTGTTCCTTGTCCTGGTCTGAGGCTATTCTGTACTGGGTCCCTGTGTGGATTTTTAGCTGGCAGCTTGCGCCATTCCTGATTCTGGCCTGGAGAAGCGTTCTCCGTGATCTTTTGCGCAGCTCCCCTATATTCCTGGCCATATCCATGGCACCTCGTGGGAGCAAAATTGGAGAGAATGATTAAGCATTCACCAAGAAGAAGAAGAAGAGAAGAGATTGGATTTATACCCCGCCCTTCACTACCTAAAGGTGTCTCAGAGCGGCTGACAAACTCCTTTCCCTTCCCCTCCTCACAACAGACACCCCCTGTGAGGTAGGTGGGGCTGAGAGAGCTCTTGACAGAAACTGTTCTTTTCCAAGAACAGCTCTTATCAGAACTACGGCTTGTCCAAGGTTGTCCAGCCAGGTGCAAGTGGAGACAGATACGTTATTTAATAGAAGAAGAGAAGAGGATATTGGATTTATACCCTGCCCTTCACTACCCGAAGGAGTCTCAGAGTGGCTTACCGTCTCCTTCCCCTTCCCCTGAGAGAGCTCTTTTGAGGACTGCCCTTGAGAGAAGAGCCCTGAGGGAACTTGTGACTGACCCAAGGTCACCCAGTTGGCTGCATGTGGAGGAGTGGGGAATCAAGCCCAGTTCTCCCAGATTAGAGTCCGCGCTCCTAACCACTACACCAGACTGGCTGATGATAATAATAGGAGAAGGAGGAGTATAGTAAAGGGGCGGAAGGAGAAACGAGACCAACCATGGAAGTGTTTGGAACAGTTAGACTGCAGTTCCGCAAGCACCTTAGAGACCAATAAGATTTTGGGGGTATACATAAGAACATAAGAGAAGCCCATGTCGTATCAGGCCAGTGGCCCATCCCGTCCAACACTCTGTGTCATGCAGTGGCCAAAAATACCAGGTGCCATCAGGAGGTCCAGCAGTGGGGCCAGGACACCAGAAGCCCTCCCACTGCTGCCCCCCGCCCCAAGCACCAAGAATACAGAGCATCACTTGCCCCAGACCCAGAGTCCCTATCTATACCTTGTGGCTAAGAGCCACTGATGGACCTCTCCTCCGTATGCTTATCTAATCCCCTCCGGAAGCGGTCCGTGCTTGTAGCCGCCACCACTTCCTGTGGCAGTGAATTCCAAGTGTTCATCACTCTTTGGGTGAAGAAGGACTTCCTTTTATCTGTTCTAACCTGACCGCTCAGCAATTTCATGGAGTGCCCACTGAGTTCTTGTATTGTGAGAAAGGGAGAAAAGTACCTCTTTCTCTACCCCATGCATAATCTTATAAACCTCGATCATGTCACCCCTCAGCCGTTGTTTCTCCAAGCTGCTGACTCTCAGAAGCTCAAACCCCCAAGGTCTGGTTGGCCTCTAAGGAGCTACTGGACTCCAGTCTAGCTCCCCTTGGAAACGGTCTTCATGGAAGTTTCCGTGAAGTTTTTAAAGATGGTAGGAGGTCTGTGGAGGCAGGACGGATGCATGAGAGTGAACAAGAGTTTGGGGGCTGAGCGGACGCATGGAGAATGCGAAAGTAGGACAATTGTGCCATTTGACGGGAAGGAGGAGACAGGAGGAGGAGATGGCAGAAGGATATGGGAGTGGCTGGGCTGAGGGCGGGCACAGCGCCAGACGCTGGAGGGTCAGGAATTCAGTGTTCCCTCTAAGCTGAGTTGTTGTGAGCTAGCTCCCAGTTTTCTAGCCTCCGGCTCACACATTTTTGTCTTAGCTCAGGAGGGAGAGCTCCAGAGCAAACGTATGCTGGAGTCAAATTGCTCACTCACAACTTGAGTGTCAGTAGCTCACAAAGTAGAATTTCTGCTCACAAGGCTCCACAGCTTAGAGGGATCATTGGCTCAGGATCCCAAGTGTTAACTAGGTAAGGGCCTCCAAGGTAGCGAGCGGCCCAGTGGGTTAAAAGGCAGGTCCCCACTGCTCCTGGTCCGTTACACCCGAGTGCCTTTAAGAGGTAGCGGCTGGTTGTGAAGGAGCGGAGAAAAAGGCAACTCCTGTGTAGACCAGGAGGGGCCAAACTTGCTTAACGTAATAAGAGCCACAAGGTTGCTTTCTTTCTCTGCTCCTCCCCCATCTCACGCCTACCCAGGGAGGGGAACACTAGCTGGGGAAGGGAAGACCGATGTGGGAGGCCTGCCTCCCCTTCGCTTCCCCAGCCGCCCTGCTGGGAGCCATACAATATGTGTGAAAGAGCTCAGTTTGGCCTCTCCTGGTGTAGACCAAGACCTGTGTAAGGCATTCACTGTACAGAAAGGAATGGTGGAGGGGGAATGAGGATCGGTGCCACTTCGCCTCCCACCTGCCTGCGTTCCAGGTGCTTTGCCAGCCTCATCGCAAAGGGGGCCTCCGATGAGTGGGCCCAAACCTTCTCCCCCCCCCAATTCGTTTCTGCAGTCGACGAACAGCTGCCCAGATCTCGATGAAGAGCTGCCCGGATCTTCTGCAAATGCTTCCCTTGCAGGCAAGAAGATTCATGGACACTGAAGCAAAATTCAGACACGCTCGTGCAATTTGGCAGTATTTCAGTACTTAAATTCTGGACTCGGTGAATTCTGCCCATTAGCACATTTTGCTTTCAACCTCTGACTCTAGCAAATCTTAGTACTCGGGGAATTTAGAGGCGGCGTTCTAAGTGGCTGGCTAAATTCCACTATTTTACATTTCGGGTTGTTCCCCCGCCACCGACCCCTAAGAATCCCTAAATCCAGTGGCATCCGTAACGGAGAATGCTGAAAACCAGAATCAAAATGAGAAGATTGGTCTGAAGTGGGAGAAAGCCCCCCCCCCCCCGGTTCCTTTCATAGAATCATGGAATGTTGGGAGGGACCTTGCAGGTCATCTAGTCCAACCCCCTGCACTCTGCAGGAGCACAGCCGAAAGAGAGCCCTGCGACATACCCGAAAGATGGTTGTCCAGCCTCCGCTTGAAAGCGTCCAGCGAAGGAGCACCCACCCCCTCCCGAGGCAGCCTGTTCCACTGCTCAACCACTCTGACAGTTGGGAAGTTCCTCCTGATCTCTAAGGCCAGCAGTTTTCAAAGATGACAAAGGATCCCTGAGAGGAGCAAGGTATCCGTGGCTGGCCTGCTGGTGGTGGACAGTCCTGTCGAGTTGCAGCCGACTTCTGGCGACCCCTTGTGGGATTCTTGTGGCAAGAGACATTCAGAAGTGGTTTGGTCCTGTCGAGTTGCAGCCGACTTCTGGCCACCCCTTGTGGGATTTTTGTGGCAAGAGACATTCAGAGGGTGTTTGCCATGGCCTGCCTCTGCATGGCGACCCCGGACTTCCTTCCCATCCACGTACTGACCAGGGCCGACCCTGCTTAGCTTATGAGATCTGGTGAGATCAGGCTAACCTGGGTCTACTAAGTCCAGGTCTACTAAGGAGTGGCTTTAGTTAAACATTTGGAAGGGCTTCCTCAGAGCTGGAGGGACTTGCCACAGGAGGGGGTGGCGGCTACAAGCAGGGACAGCTTCAAGAGGGCATTAGATATAAGCATATGGAGCAGAGGTCCATCAGTGGCTCTTAGCCACAAGGTAGAGGTAGGAACTCTGGGTCTGGGGCAAGGGATGCTCTGTATTCTTGGTGCTTGGGGGGGGCAAGAGTGGGAGGGCTTCTGGTGTGCTGGCCCCACTGGTGGACCTCCTGATGGCCTCCTGATGGCACCTGGTATTTTTGGCCACTGCATGACACAGAGTGTTGGACGGGATGGGCCACTGGCCTGATCCAACATTGGCTGTGTTCTTGTGTTCTTATGACTCTGCAGTGGGCTACCTTAGTAGACCATGTTGACACAGCAAATGTGGTTGGTGTTCTGGCCAAGGTGCCACGGCGACTGCTTGGGTGGCACCAGGAGGTGGGCCCTGACATGTTCCTGGCCAGTGTCTGGTCTGGAGGCAACGGGCATCACACCCTGCAGCCATGCAAGCCATTGGCTGAGCCTTAAGAAGAGGGAGGAGCCCACGAGGGTGTGACTCAGACCTAGCCACTGCTGGCGTGGGAAGCAGGAGTGGGAACGTGTTGCTTGGAGCAACAAAACACCCAGGATCAGCCTGGACGGCCAACTTCTATCCATTCTTATACCACTTTAAATCTGGCCCCTCTCCCAAAGAGTCCTGAGAGTTGTCATTTGGAGAGACTCCTGACAATTCTCCAGGAGAGAAACCCCTCTTCCCGCACCTTTCACAGGGAGAGAGAATTGTCGTTAAACCGGCAGAAGCCCCCGGCATGCGGAAAATCTGGTGACTCTCGGAGCTGTTTCCAGTAGTGGGTTTTCATAAGAACATAAGAGAAGCCAATGTTGGATCAGGCCAATAGCCTATCCAGTCCAACACTCTGTGTCACACAGTGGTGGCCAAAAAATACCAGGTGCCATCAGGAGGTCCATCAGTGGGGCCAGGACACTAGAAGCCCTCCCACTGTTGCCCGCCCCCCAAGCACCAAGAAACAGAGCATCACTTGCCCCAGACTGAGAGTTCCTATCTATACCTTGTGGCTAATATCCACTGATGGACCTCTGCTCCATATGCTTATCTAATTCCCTCTTGAAGTCGTCCATACTTGTAGCCGCCACCACCTCCTGTGGCAGTGAATTCGATGTGTTAATCACTCTTTGGGTGAAGAAGGACTTCCTTTTATCCGTTCTAACTTGCCTGCTCAGCAATTTCATGGAGTGCCCACAAGTTCTTGTGTTGTGAGAAAGGGAGAAAAGTACTTTTTTCTCGACCTGCTCTATCCCATGCATAATCTTATAAACCTTGATCATGTCACCCCTCAGCCATCGTTTCTCCAAGCTAAAGAGCCCCAAGCGCCTTAACCTTTCCTCATAGGGAAAGTGTTCCAACCCTTTTATCATCCTAGTTGCCCTTTTCTGCACTTTTTCCAATGCTTCCCCCTCACCTGTCACTCAAAAATGCATGCTGGAGAGTGGCGGAAGAACGTGGACGTCACACATCTTCAGGCAGGGCCGTGTCCTCTTTAAGTGCTCTGTCGCAGGCAGTCCTCGGTGGCCCGGTGGTGGGGGGACCAAAGTAGGAAGGAGATCAAGATGGGTTGCTGTGTTAATCTGTCTGTAGCAGCAGAAAAGTCAGGACTGTGGCCAGAGGTGGGGCGTTGGGGGCAGTGCCCCCTAGCACATACCCTAATGCCCCCTCCCCACTGCTGCCTCCGCCCCCCCCCGAGAAGTACCTGGCCTTGCGGGGCTTGTTAAGCTGCCCCGCCTTGGGCCGCCACCACACGGGCCCTTTCGTCCTTCCTTCCGTGGCATGCTGCCTTCCTCCCTGTCTTTGTGGGGCCAGCCTGGTGCAGAACAGGGGAGGGAGAGGCAGTAGGGGGGGAGGGAGAGTATGGCCTTTCCCCACATGTACCCCAGAGAGCACTGCGATCAGGGACCCAGAATCGGCTGGCTCTCCCCAGTATTAAGGAGGCCAGACTGGCAACAACCAGGGCCAGGGCTTTTTCGGTGGCGGCTCCACTCTGGTGGAATGAGCTCCCAAAGACCGGGGCCCTGCGGGACCTTTTACAGTTCCGCAGGGCCTTTAAAATGGAGCTCTTCCACCAGCCCTTTGGAGCCACCACAACGACCACCACTGCTATCAGCGATGGCCGTTGACACCGTACGGTCGAAGAGCCAGACCTGCTGGACCCTTAAGTACCGCCCGAGCCAATTCCCCTATGACATCTGAAGCACTTTCTTATGACATCTGAAATTGTATGGAGCTGACGTCACAATGGCTAGCACTTTATTATTATCATTCGTGGTTTTAATATGGTATTTTAACATTTATTTATAGTCATTGTTGTTATATTTATATGTATCGTAGAATTCCACCAGTTGTAAGCCGCCTCGAGCTGGTGTTGACTGGGAGGGCGGGATTAAAATAAAATAAAATAAATACATACATAGTGCCAACTTCCCCACTGTGCCTCCATTGCTAGTGGCTGTTTCACGGGTCTAATGATCACGCTAGCAACGCAGGTGCAGTGGGTAAGTAGCTACTATTCTCCCTTCCCTCGCACGCCCTCTCCCTCCCCTGCTTTATTCATTAAATTAAAAATTGACATTTTAATTTAATTAGACCCTCTTCTTGAGATACCTACCCTGCCACTGATTTTGTTAGTCTTGAAGGTGCTTACTGGACTCTTGCTCTTTTCTACTGCAAAGTGGGAAGGGTTGCTAGAGGCAGTGCCCCGGTCTGCCCACTTCAGTGGACAGTCCTCGGGTCTTGCCTGAGACTTAGCCAGGTTCCAACCGGGCCTTGGCTGAGACGTTGTCTTCTCTCGTTTCTGCCTCCCTCCTGCAGGGATCCGAACCAGCCCGTGCCCCAGGACACCAAGTTCATCCACACGAAGCCCAACCGCTTTGAGGAAGTAGTGTGGACCAAGTTCAACACGAAGGACAAGCAGTACCTCCACATCGGCCTCAAGCCCCGGGTGAGGGACAACTACCGGGCCAACAAGGTGGCTTTCTGGCTGGAGCTGGTGCCCCACCTCCACAACCTCCACGAGCCCCCCCACACGTCGACGACCACCCGCATCCCGCCTTACGGCACCCGGTGGCCCAGCACGCGTGTGGGGCCCAGCACCACCCGCCGTCCCGTCCCGACACTTCCTCCTGACGAAGACGACGTGGGCCGGTCTCAGCACTACGTCCCCTTCCCGGGGGACTCGCGGGACTACTCCACCGAGCTCAGCGTCACCGTGGCGGTCGGGGCCTCCCTGCTCTTCCTCAACATCCTGGCCTTTGCCGCCCTCTACTACAAGCGGGACAAGCGGCACGAGCTGAGGACCGGGCGGCGCCTCAGCCCCCAGCGGAACGCGGCCAACGACCTCGTCCATGGCGGCCAGGAGGAGGAGATCATGTCCCTGCAGATCAAGCACTCGGAACACGATGCCCACGACCTGGAGCCGCTCCGGCCCCACGAAATCCTACGCCCCGCCTGCCCTCCCGACTACACGCTGGCCCTGCGCCGGGCGCCGGACGATGTCCCCCTGATGACCCCCAACACCATCACCATGATCCCCAGCACCATCACGGGGATGCAGGCCCTGCACCCCTTCAACACCTTCCCCACCGGACACAACAACACCCTCCCCCACCCTCACTCCACCACCCGTGTATAGTTGCCCTCCCCCCCTCGTGCCCTCAGCCGCCTGGCGACGGTGGTCCCGGTCCGCCCTGCTCAGAGAGGAGGGAGGCGTCCTTCCCACCCTGTGGATGGGTCTTTTATAGAACATTGTGGCAACAGAAGGATAGATGGAGACTCCCCTCCCTCCCTCCCCCGCCCTCCCCCACCGCGGCACAGACGGGCTGGGCCGCCTCTTCTTCACCCAGCTTGGTTTGATGTTGGAGCCTCCGTCGTCTTCTGTGGTGTGGCCTAGGGTGGCCTAGCCAGGCACTGGCACGGGAGAGGAGGGTGGCAAGGAAAGAGAGGCCCTTCTTCCAGAGAGCTGGCCCGACGTCCTAGGGGCTGGGGTCCCTTCGGGTGCGGCACCGGAAGCAGCAGCAGCAGCGCCCCCATCCTAGGGGGCGGGGTGAGAGGTTACCTCCCGCTCCAGCCGGACAGGGGATGGGAATGCCAGCAGTGCTCCAGATGTGGCTTCGGTGCTCGGGGCGCCGGAGAGGAAGCCCCGCCGTCTCTCCTCCATCTCGGTTGAATGGCGAAAGCATCCACGCCCTTCCGGACCACGGTACGGGTTCAAGGGCACTGGAGAAAGCCAGAGGGAAGATGAACGGATGCAGCGTCGCTTTGCTCCTCCCCGCGTGGTCGACGGGGAAGCCGATGCCCTGGCCAAAGCCGGTCCGCGTGCCACTCTTGCAAAAGAGGGGCTGGCAGATGTTGGAGAAGCCCACCTTTAACGGGGCACCTGAAGGCCAGAGCAAGAGAGAGGCATCTCTGGTGGTGGTGCCGGTGGTGGTGGAGATGCCCGTGTTCGCTCTGCTCGGCGTTCGCAGCCCAGGATTGCCCCGAAGACCAGCCAGCGGTTCCTCTTTTCTTCAGCTGTCTTCAGAGAAAGGCAGAGCTCTCCTCCTCTTCTGTTCTTTCCTTTTGTCCCCATGTGAGTCCACGCCAACGGACGAAGCCAACGTTTGTCATCGGGACAGAGGCCAGGAGAGAGAGAGAGGGCAGGCAGTCCGTCCGGGCCACGTAGGCTCCCCACCACATTGGCCAGCGACTGAGAAGAGAGGTCGGCCGCCCTTCCTGGCTCCCCTTCAGTCTGGGGCGAGGGGGCCGAGACCCCAGTGCCTTCCTAGCACAACGTGAAGAGAGCCATCGGCCAGCTCCTCTTGTCCCTTTGGAGATGGACCCCGCCCACGCCTCTGCCTGGAGGTCTTACAGAGAGAAAGCCTTCCCTGGAATGGGTGGTGGCGGCTAGGGTCCAACGAAGAGGCGGTCGCTATCTTCGCAGTAGGAAACAGGGCGGGCAGGGGGAGGGATGTCCGGAGGTAAACGCAGAGGGGTCCCAGAGTGGTGGGGCAGCATGTTTGTTCCGGCTTGTTTCCAACAAGGTGAACATTTGAATGTAACAACTGGAAATTCACTTTTATTGGGAGGGGGAAAGGGAGGGGTATGATTTTCCCCCTTTTAATTTTGAACACCCCTCCCCCCCGTGAATAGACTGCAAAGGTTGGGGAAGGGGGAAGCTGTTTTGGGTTTTTTTGTTTCTGTTTTTAATTACTGCTACTGCGAAAGATGAACTGCATGTTCCAAACTTTTTTTTTTAATAGGAAAAAAAAAGGAGTTGAACAAGAAAACGAATGCGCGGTGATGGAATCAGTGCCTCGGCCTGCCCTTGGTACCTCTCCCTTGCTTTCTAGCTCCTCCTTCCTCCACCGTCCGCTTTCTTCCCGCTCCCCTGTTTGGCTTGGGCCGCTCTTTGGGAGCCCTCAGCCCTCTCCTTAAGGCTCCCGTCAGCCTGCACTTTGGCAGCTAAAGGACAGGACAGGCGGGTGGCGGGAGTTGCGCCCGAGAATCCTGAAAAAATGTCCGGCAGCTGCAGGCCGACAACTCCCCGGTTGGGCCAAAGTCCAGAAGGAAACCCTGTGTGGTGAGGAACCGCGATTCCAATGACCTGCCACTTTTGGGGGGAGGGGGGAATATTCTCCCCAGTTGCCCCACCCATCCGTCTCCCTGCCTGGTGGGGTGGGCCGTCCCGTGAGGTACACCCACCTTCTGGTACCTCCACTTTGCAAAAGGCTGTCAGTCGGCCCGCCTGGGAAAGGCCTCGCCCGGCCTGAGATCCGGGAGAGCCGACGAGGCCATCCTTCCGACCCCCGCTGAAGCGTCCTGATTATCTGTCCCCGCATCGTTTCACTCTAGAGCGCCAGTGCCCACACCAGCCTGCTCTACCCAGGCCAGGTACGCGTCATGCCAGAGGCGAGCCACAGGATCCCTTGCGACGAGGGTCCTGGCAGCCCGCTCTTGGTGCTCAGGCATGTGATCCTGTTGCCGTGACGTTGCCAGGCACCCCAGTCGGGCCCGGCCTCTCGATCTGCAGGCGGCTTCCCGAATGACCCTTAAAGACTCTTCCCGTCGTGCAGCTGAGCCAGCGCCGTGCCCGTTGCTAGGGGCTGCAGCTCACTGGTCGAGTCGGTGGCGGCTTTGATTCCTGGCTTCCCCTGCCCCAGTGGAGCTCAGCACTGCTGAGCAAGCACCCCGCCCGTCGGAGGCGAGGCTGCCGAGCCAAACGGGCCGAGGCCTGGCTCACGCTGCTCCTCGGGAGCTCTGTCCCTTCCAATACGATCGGGGCAGGTTCCTTTTGCATTTGAACGACTGACCGCAATGCCACTCTCCGTCTCCCGGGAGGCGGTTTCTTCTTGCCGATTCCCTTGTTCCTGTCTCCCCCACTTCGTCACCTTTCTCTTCCGTGGGCATAGCCTCTGCTGGTCCCAGAGATGCTTGCAAATCTGCCCTACGCGTTTTAACTGGCACAAACCACGTTTAAAGGTGGTGCCCCCCCCTCCAATAAAACACTCATTTTAAGGGGCTCTTGATCTGCCAGGTGTCCTCTTTCCACAGAATCACACGTGCTGCATCCAGGACATGCTGCTTCAGTGCCGTCCCAGGCCTCCTCCCCACCCCCGCCACGTTCCTTCCAAGAATGGTGGCATCTTCTCTTCCGCGTCAGTCACTAACCCCTTGCTCTTTGTGCCAAAACACTCCTTGGCCCCTGCGATGCAACCCCGGGGGCTGGGCCGTGGCTCAGAGGGAGAGCCCCTGCTCGGCAAGCAGAAGGTCCCCGGTTCAATCCCTGGCGGCATCTCCGGTTGAAAGGACCAGGCGGGAGGTGATGTGAAAGACCTCCGCCTGAGAGCCTGCAGAGCCGCTGCCGGTCTTAGTAGGCTAGACTGACCTTGATGGATTCAGTAGAGGGCAGCTCACGTGGCCCTTTCCCAGTTGGCAGCATATTTCTCTTGCCAGGAGCAAAGGAGTTAAGTTGAGGGGTTAAAATCTGAAACTGATGTGGGCGGGGGGGGGGTGTTTGAAGGAAAAAAGGTCTGGGGCCTCTTGGGTTTCCCTGGAACAAATGTGTCCGGCCCCCCCCCCCCCCAGCAGAAAGCCAACGTCCCCGCTCAGGATCTGTCTCCAGCCGCCCTCCCTCCACGCCTCTGACTCCAGATCTGATCTATCCGTCCCACAATCGCTCCGCTTAGTGGACCTTCGTCTTCTGGCCCACCAGCCACCCTTTGTTGCATGAGTCATCTGCTCCTCCGGCTTCCCAGGAGCCCCGCTCTTTGCTCCTCGCTAGCTCTGTGGCTTGGATCCCCCTAGATTGGGGGGAAGGTGGGAGGGGGCTGATAGGTAAATGCTGCTTCTTTGGGGGGGCAGAAGGCCCATAAGGGTTGCTCCTTCCTCTTCGGCCACCACGTCCCCATTCCCACCTGCCCACCGATTTCCATTACCCGTTCTTGATCTCCCTGTGTCCTCATCCCCCCCCCCACCCCACCCCACGCGCACACACCGCAGCCTTAGGCAACGTTTGGTTCCAATGAGCTCTTTCAGCAACATCTGAACATGTTCCACTTGCCGAATCCAGTAAGACAAAAGGGAAAAACGATCCTTTCTATTTTTAAAAAAAGCACATCATTCTCGGTTGTTCGTTCTCTCTCTCTCTCTCTGTCTCTCTCTCTCGTGCCTCTGGTGTTTGTTCTGGGAGATTTTGTTTCTTTCGTTTTGTTTTTGGGGAAATTCTGGTGCAGGAGAGTCTGGAGGAAGAAGCAAAGGTCGGGTTGGGAAGACTGTGTGTGGGGGGAGGTCTCGTTCTAAGCCATTCTGAGACTCCATCTGACTTCCGTGACGTTTCCAGTTGGTTTCCTTTTTTAAAAAAAAGAAAGAAAGAAAAGAATTTATTATAAATATATATATATAAATATCAATTTTTTTAAAAAGGAAAACAATTATTTGTGAAACCTGTCTGTGCCAAGGATCGGAACCTGTTCCGACATCCGCCGCGCCTCCCGCAGAGAGATGTCCGCGCCTTATACTGTTGCCAAAATGCTCCCGTCCACTCATTGCTCTCACTCCTCCGCACCCAGACGCATCGACTGCACTGTCTCAGTTCCGTCGCCGGCAGAGAAAAGCACAGGCCCTTTTGTTTGGGAGCCCGGCATGGCCGCCCTCCATGTGCTCCGGTCCAAGATGGCCGCCCCGCGGGAACACCGTCTTGTGGACAGTATCAGACGTGTGGCCGGCGGAGGACTCTGAATCCCGGTATGCCTGACTGTGGAGTTCTCCCGAAGCCAGATTCCGGCCTGAGGCCCCTCTTCTTTTGTACAATCCAGTCCACACTCCTTCGGACGCGTCTTCTTTTGAAAACAAGACCAAGACCACCGGACGGGGTTCCTCTCAGCCTCCTTTCCAGCGGGTGTCTTGAGCGACCATCCAAGATGGCCACCTGGGAAACGGCACCTGTTTCCTAGAAATCCAAGATGGCCTCTTCCAGCTTTTTTTTCTTTTTGCCGCTTGCAAGCCAAAATGACCACCTTGAGGGGATTTATTTTCCTTTTTTCCCTTCTCTCATTTCCACGTGGCTGCAGCCAGGCTCGTTCCTTGAACGACAACCCCGATGGCCGCTCTCGAGGGAACCCCTTAATCGCCATATGCTCGAGAGGTGAGCC